CATTTATTCGCGAACATGAGGGTACTGTAATGTTCTGGCCTGATTTAGCAACCTCTCACTATTCTACAGCTACCATGGAGTGTTATGAAAGCAATAATGTCAATATTGTTCCAAGAAAAGCGAATCCACCTAATTGCCCAGAGCTTCGACCTATTGAGAGATATTGGGCTCTAATGAAAAGAGTAAAGGTACTGCAAAAAATTTACAAGATATTAGAAATAAGTGGCGAAGGTCGTACGGTACTATCGATGAAAACACTGTACAAAACATAATGAAGGGCCTTAAGAAAAAAGTAAGAACTTTTTACAGGAAATAAAAATTTGTTAAATGTTATTTATAATTTGTAATCTCTATAGCACTCATTAATAAGAAATAAAACAAGACTTTGAAAAAATTCTTTGGTTTTCTTGTTATTAATGAAAAACGAAGGTTAAATTTTTTACGGGACAGTCCTTAAATAGTACTTATTTTTTAACTCGCGCCGTCAACTTATTAGGTCGACCAGAGTGAGATTTTAATGCTATTGAAAGTTTTATTTGAAAGTTTGCAGGACGTTCAGCGTAGTAGAATGACCTCTTCCTATTATTTGACCTATTTAACAGAATGTTTTTAATTTTTTTTAGTTGTAGAATATTATTTCTTTTACCACTAATTGGGTATTAACTGTATTGGTATTAATCTTATAGTAAAACATAACTGTTTTTGAAACGAAATAGAGCCTACAGTACAAGTATTAAGCTTACATTCCAGCATGTGCTAATATGAAGCTCTAAAGAAATGTAGTACTAATGTTTAATACATTTTTTGAATAAAATTCGTATTTGGCAATCCTGGTTTTGCTAAGAAACAATTAATCAACAATTGTTTCTTGAAGAAAATCGAAAGTAATTGTTAAATACTAAATTAAATAAGTTAAATACGTACTAAATTAGTTACATTATTTTTATGAAGTATAGTTAATTTAGAAATCTTGTGTAAAACTCACCAATCAACAACATATTACACACAAAGTTCTTTATTCATTCTTTCTTGCTCTGCTAATGTGGATCATTCACAATGCGTAACCAGCAGTCAAAATTACTTGAAGAAATAATGTATTTTTTTTCTTGAGCAATTACTTAAGACCTGGATACGGACCTTTATATGTTAAAAAAGAATACTTTAATAGCTATCACTTAAAATACAAGGTGCGTTCCAAAGTAAACACGACTTAAAAAAAATCAATTCCATTTCCATGAATTTCAATGATGATTTTGGCTGATTTTTGATGAATTCAGGCGCAGTTTCGATGGAATTTCTGGTGATCATGGATTCAAACCACTTGTGCACTCTGCTACGGGATAGACAATCATCGCCATAAACTTGTTTCCTCAATTGAAACGTTTCGGTAAAAGTTTTACCAATTTTAAAATAAAATTCAATATTGGCTCATTGTGTGAAGCTCGTTTACCGATAACACAAACATGCTGACACTCAAAACGCAATAACTTCACTTCCAATCAATGAATTATCACTGGACAATCGATAAAGATAGCAGATTCTAACGTGCCAGTATACATATAAATGGCGCCACCGGGGGGAACTAGATTCCTGTTTATTTGGAACGAATCTTGTTTAGGGCAAATCAGAAAATAATACTAATATTAAATAATTATTAAAGAAAATGTGCAATCAATTGCATTTTTTAAATTTATGCGTACGATTATATTGACTGTTTCTGGTAAGTGTATATAAAGGATGAGGTTGACGGGGCGATTGTAAATCAGTTGGACTGTCTGTCCGTCGTTTCATCCGTCCGTCCGTTTATCTGTTCGAGCTGTGAAACTTGAGCAAAACACACCTATTGGCTAATAATCGGTTAAGCTAAATCAACCAAACTTGCCTCGATGAATTGCTTTTGTTATCTGTTGTTGTTTCTGGGATCTATTCTGAATAAGTAATTGTAATACGAATAAGTAGGACAAGTACATGATATCCGTTCCCACGACAGTCGGGTCTACGAAAACCGGAACGGACCCGGATTTTTATCCGGCCAAGGACTGTCAACTCGGCAGAATTCTGCCGTTACAACAACAACAACAACAAGTACATAATATAGAGTCAGGGCCTGTAAATGGTCACCCTCGACCTCGTCCGTTGACTTTAATATTACAAAAAAAAGACAAATATACTTAAAAAAAATGATATAATGTTTTTTTATTTTTTTTATTTTGTTTTAGTAATATACAATTGACGAATAACATATATAAATATAAAGGATGGATACCTTCGATGTGTCGGACCGAGACAGGTAAGTTAATACAAATAATGTAAATAATAAGTACGATATTTCTGTATATTTAGTGAGAATTTGACATGGAGTTGTCTTTAACAATCAAGCAATGTTATCATTTTTCGTACTACAGTACAGTTTCGTTGAACTATTTGCTAAAAAAAAAAAAAAAATACAATCCCTGTTAACGTCGCCCCCGCCCAATTTCTTTTCCACGTCTGTATCGGCAGAGCAATCTTTTCTTTTCCTCTTATTCGAAGTTTAATTCGCGCCCAACTAAACCATAACTTAAAGTTGCGCGCTCTCTTCTTTTGCGACCGCTCACCTATTCAGACGTGGTAAGTGTGTTTCCAATTTATTATATTTAAATATATTTATTATAAGAAACCTTTTGTTTTTTATTTAACATTTGTGGAATAACTTGCGCCGACCGTTTCACCACGGCCAACCACAACTACGGAACGAACGAGCACCGTGCTCCACCACCCGAATTATCATTGGTCCTTCGAGCCGGATAACAGGTAACAAGTTGATTTTAATTAAAGTGAAAGTGCATAATTTGCCCGATTTAGCATCTCGCTATTTACAACCAAACATATTTTGGATTTGTTCTCTGCAAGCTATAAGGCAATAGATTGGTTAATTTGGGCATAAGTTTGTACATATTAACTATTGTACTGTGTGAAGTGGAGACCAAAACTTATTTTTGGCACTCTACCCACAAAATCAACGCACAAGTCTGCAGGTAGTATTGTACGTCACTTAAGTACAACAATAAATACACCTGGCAAATGCACTAATTATTTCACTTTGCATATAAAACAAAAAAAACACACTGTTATCCGAATAACATTATAAATTTCTTGGACGCACAAAATCGTCTGGGGCGTCAACATTCTCTCTCGGTTTGTGTTTTCTTGTGGTTAATTTGAGTCTAGTCGCTCAACTCTGCCTTTCCATATATTACTCGAATAGCAATAAAGGCAAGCAGCAATAACGCACCTGCAGTTTCGCGAGTGCAAACAAAAAAAAAAATACAAAGAAAAGTGAAGTGAGCGACTGGCAAGAGAGCCAAACAGCTAAGAAGAGCAGCAGAGGCCGAGCAGCAAAGGCAAAGCAACACAGGCATAGCAGCAAATTGAGAGCAGCACAGGCCAAGCAGCTAAGGGAGAGCAGCCAAGGCAAAGCAGCACAGGCTAATCAGCAAAGGGTGAACAGCAAAGGCAAGCAGCCATCCCAACAAACAAATGAGTATAGTCGTGAAATCGAAATAGTTCGAAAATAACCCAGTGCACAAAGTGAAAGTGATTAGTTGACAAAGTGCTTGGGAATTTTTATCTGTATTATATTTGGATTTAAATAAAGCAATTAAGCACAAATCCATTTTGTTTGTATTATCCGAATACTAGGCGTGCAAGTGCATTGGGACGATTACCCAGCAAGCACATACAAATTTAACAAAAAAAAAAGAATATATATACTTTGAGAAAATACTTTACTCAATTTATTAATTTTTTTTTTTTTGATCTTTCGAAAATTCACGCTTCACTAAGAAACAACGCACTACTAATTTTTACTTTGTCCGTGAGTGCTTCTGTAACTTTTGAACCTTTTTGCAACATATTTGCAAATATTTTAAATTTTTATTTCAAAGTTTTAGATCCGATTTTGTGCAACATTTTTGCAGTTCCGGTTCAATTCAAAGTACAACAAGCTGAACTGAGATCTCTGTGGGCAGAGGTAAAGTCAGAATACAAGTTGTGTTTGCCAAAAGTGGATCCTTCCGACACAAGCTCAATTGACGACATTAAGCTTAAATATTCAAGCTGTTACCACGCTTATGYGTGTTRCGCGGCCTTGATGGGCGAACACATGCACAACCCCACGGCGTTCAACCAAAGCCCAACTTCAAATTCTACGGTGATTTAACCTGAACGGTTACAACAAACTGTAGAACCCGTGAGGTATTCTATCAATTTACCGCCATGTGATACTGAGATATTTCATGGCGATGTTTTACAATGGCGTTCATTTAGGGATTTATTTGCTGCTATATATGGGAATAACCCAAGGCTATCTCCGGTAGAAAAGTTATTCCATTTAAATCAAAARACGCGAGGTGAAGCAAAAGCTATTGTTTCGAAAGCGCCACTGACGAATGACGGATTCGCATTGGCTTGGAATAATTTGTTGTGTAGGTATGAAAACAAGCGAGTGCTTGTCAACACACAACTAAAATTATTGTTCAAGCTTCCGCACATTTCTACAGAATCTGAGACCGAACTCAGAAATTTACAGCGGGAGATTAATAGGTGCATTTCAGCTTTACAAATACATGGCATCAATGTAGATAGCTGGGATGCCATATTCACGTATTTGTGTTCTATCCGACTACCGGACTATACACTGTCGCTTTGGGAACAATCTCTGGATTCGGATTCAGAAATCCCAAAATGGGTTGAGTTAGACAAGTTTCTAAACAAACGGGTTAAAACTCTTGAAAGAGTATCAAACCTCAAAGGCGAGTTGAGTACTCAACCTAATATTGAGTCGGCTGATGGTGAAGGTCGGATACCAACCTTGCAGTCAAGGATTGGATCCAAACCCATCAATTCCCACCACGCTAAGAAAAACAACATTAAATGTAAACTGTGCTCATCTCAATCGCACAATTTGAAAACTTGTCAAAGATTCATTGAGATGCAGCCTAACGCACGGTTAAATGCTGTCAGAAAACTCCACGTCTGCCTAAACTGTTTATCGGACTCACATGAAGTCAAAAACTGTAAAATTCTGTTTAATTGTTCCAAATGTAAACAGATGCATCACTCTATGATTCACCGGAATCAGAGTGAAGAAATAGGTCAGATATACGACAGCACAGACACTACTGAGATTTCTACTAAATCTCATATGGCCTCTATTAAGGCCAATATTTCAAATATGCCTACCAGTCGAAGCATGCTCTTAGGTACAGCCATGGTGACCATATGTCACAACAAGAGCACCTTCACTGTCAGAGCCCTGATTGATTCGGGATCTGAAGCCACCTTCTTAAGCAATAGTCTGCAAAAACGCTTACATCTGGCAAGCAAAAAGGTCAGCGCGCGAGTTTCAGGATTGAATAATACCGTATCAGGACGAGTTCAATCGGTATGCTCAATCACGATTGGCTCGCCCCGTAACAAAAGTTTAAGACTAGAAGCGGAAGCGTTGGTACTGCCAAAATTGACTGCACTGCTTCTATCTAGGTCAATTAACTCCTCAATTTTAAAAAGGTTACCCAAATTAGCGGATAATAATTTCTATACGAGTCAAAAGGTTGGGTTGTTGATTGGAGCGGATCTTTACCCGAAAATCATTCTAAATGGGGTAAAATCGAAAATCTCCGGATCACTTGTCGCACAACGTACTGTGTTCGTTGGATCTTAACAGGTTCCGTTCCCTCCGAAAAAGCGAAAATAAATGGCAAAGGTGAGGTCAAAATTCAACAATAACGCAACAACAAACACAAAACCATTTTTGTAGTCAAAATTATACTAATTTCATATTTATACAACAGGTACAACAATCGCCCCATCAACAGACTATTCGGCAGCAGCAGTCGAAAAGACATCACCCACATTGATCCACCGGTATTGCAGCAACTGCCTCGCATCGAGCCATTCAAAGAATGAATGCGGCAGCGTAATACGCTGCAAACGTTGTGGCAACCCACACCACACGATGCTTCATGGCATCAGCTCAGACGCCGAAGAACAAGACGATGATGTCATTGAATTGACATGGGCACAGCAGGTGGAGGCAGCGGAAATCAAGGAAAATTCGTTGACAATTGGCACGACAAATTCGGAGCCCTATCAACCATGTCAACCGACGTCAACAGTCAAGCATCCGCAAACCTCTGACCAATGATACCTCTCCCGCATACCACACGCCCAAGATCGAGCCAGACTCGAGCCGTCTCGCCGACTTCGGGGTGCTGGTAACTTCCATTCGGATTGGCGGCATGGCAACGATAGGCTGAGGTTCGATTCATCTCAGCGGCATTTCCCGGACTGAGCGGGACTCCATTCGTTCCGCCGGCCACCCCATTCGAAGCGAAGGCGTGGACGAGCCACTCGTCGTCAAGCCGATGCACGAACTAATGTTTCGGGACAACCAGGGTGGAGAAACAGAAATCTCCGTGAATGCCCAAATACAACATCGTCCGTTACCAATACGACAGTAAGGTCTCTAGAAGACCATTTATTTCAACAATTTCGCAACCTAAGACTGGCAGATAACAAATTCCACAAGGCAGCGCCAGTCGAAGTAATCTTGGGAGCGGACGTTTACTCCCGGCTCATGCCTCTCGGGTTACAACCGGCAGCAATGGGCCAACTCATCGCCTAAAATACGACACTGGGATACATAATATCCGGCGTCGTATAACATCGGCACAATAAAGTGCACTGGCTGCCAACGCCTCTCACATTCACCACCTACCCAGGATCGAGTTAGACTCGAGTCGTCTCGCCGACCTCGGAAGGTGGTAACTTCTATGCAAATTGGCGGAATGGCAATGACCGACTGAGATTCGATCGATATCATGGGTATATTCTTGGAAAACCCCGTACCCACTGGGTTGTTACAAAAATTATGCAATAATACTTTTTTTTTTGTATTTTTTTTTTTGTAAGTGTTATTACAGCTTTAAATGCCCTTAAACTAAATGCATCTTCATCCCTCTCGTTTGAGTATTCCACATTTACCAATTTCATTGGTTTTTTATATTCGTTGGATGAACGTTCTGTAGTGGATTAATTCGGTTAAAATACGGGTGATCTTTATGCCGTACTCTTTTGTAGTTCTTTATTGGAACTTCCTCGCTTGTTTCTATATAGCACTTCATCTCATGCCATTCTGATTGTGCATTTGATGATAGAATGATAACGGTCGTTATAATTTCTTACAACAACTTGTATTCTCATCTTTGTTGAAGATCAGAGTCCTAAATTCCTGTTAGTTTCTCCAAC